CACCTTCTCTCGTCTGTTACCTTTAGCTCTAACATTCGTCCCACACTCTCATACTTACACTCTCTCTAAATTCTATTTTTATTTCTCTTGTTTCAAAAGATTCCTTTGCGCAAAGCATTTCCCAAATTTTAGCAAAGGATCAAACACAGAAGTCGTTTTCTTTTCAGCGCACACTTGTGTTTTAGCATATCTATTCCTCTCAATTTCTGATGTATTTGGTTTCATATTCTTTGAGCTTGCAGTGATGTTTCTTGTCCCTTCTTTCAGGGCATAGACTATATATATATATATATATATATATATATATATATATATATATATATATATATATATATACACAAACACACGCACACACACGCACACACACACACACACACACATATATATATATATATATATATATATATATATATATATATATATATATATATATGGAATAATCCTAAGGATCCAGGCAAACTTTCCTAGGTTTCAACTAAACGTTTAGGTGAAACCTAGGCAAATTTGCCTGGCTCATTAGGATTATTCTAGTTTATCGCTCTACTTAGCGTATTGAGCACTTTATGTTTAGTCTTTTCACTCGTTTGTTTTTTTTGGAGGGGGAGGGGGGACTTGGAGCTTAAGCACTTGACGATTGGTTTCGTACTCTGTTAATGTTCAGCTTTTTTTTTGCTTTCTTTATTCCCAATTTTTCCTCCGGTAGCGATTTTTTCTATTATAAGTTCAGCTATCCGAGATTTTCCAAACGATTATTACCATATATATATATATATATATATATATATATATATATTCTAAAAATAACGAAATTGACTTGGTGAACTTACATTCTTGATATTTCCTTGTTTACTCATTTAGGAGTTGTTATCTGCGTTTGGGGACGTATCCCACAGTTTCAAATATATTTTCCTATTTCTTGATGTCAAAGGCTAGCCACAATATTTAATTCACATCGTCTCTAAATATAAACAGATCAATGCAATTTCTTACCTTTCCTTATTCCCAAATATACCTTAATTTATTGGCTTTTATCGAAGATATCTGAGCTTAACTGTAATCTAAAAAAAAACCCCCAAAACTTTACTTTGCTGGGGAAGTGGCCTAAACATTATTAGATATCACCAGATGTTACAGCTTTTTTTTTTAACTCTTGAGAAATCTATTTGTAACTTTCTGTAATATTTTTATTAGCAAAAAAAAGAACTATTCACCCTTCTATTGTCGCTTCAAGCTCTCATTGGAATTAGGACAATCACTGAAAAAAAAAACAACAATGATATATCGAAATGCAATATGAAATTCTCTTTTTATTTTTAATCGTCTATTTTTTAACATTGTCCATTGCAGTACTTGAAAACCAGGAAATAATTTAAAACAAGAAAGCTAATATCAGTTTTTACTGTTTGCTTCATTATGCGCTCTGTACTTAACTCAATATCAATCCAATATATTTTATTGTTTTGTTAACAAGGGTGTGAAAGAATATAAAAATCCTGTACGATTCACGTGTCAACCAGGACTATGGTTGAACCCATCACCTTAACAAAATAAAATATTTTTTGAAAGATTAATCCCTGAAAGATATAGTAGAATCTATTTATTGTTTACACTACATATATTGTTCGGACTGTTGTCCTCATCTTTATCGTTATATTCACGACGGTTCAGTCGCTATACGCCCCGGCGTTCTTCAGGTGTTATACTGTTGGCTCCAGCTTTTGAGGATCTATCTATATCTCTGAGATGTAGTATTGTAAATATTTACACTATTTAAATTGTTCGGGCTGTTGTACTCTTCTTTATTGTTATATTCACGATATTTCGACCGATGCACGCTCCGGCCTTCTTCGGTCGATATATTTTGCAATTTCGAACCGAACTCTTTATTTAATATAAGGCGATAGATTATTCTGTTTCCACATGGCATGCTTTTTCTGGATATCCCTGTTTTATTTAATTCCTTTTTGTGACTCAGCTCTCCAATTTTTAATTTTTGTTGTTGATTATCACCACTGATGTGGCCAGGTATTGGACTTACGACACTTTGGGTCAAGCCACTGGTTTACTTGAGATCCTAAAGGGAAATAGCTGAAACTGAGATATGGAGAAAAGGCAGTAAACGTGGAACTAGAACAATCTACCCCCGTAGACTAAATAAAGGTTTCACTTCGAAATTCCAATGTATATCGCCTGAAGAAGTCCGGAGCTTACATCGGTTGAAACATCGTGAATATAATAATAAAGGTGAGGTAAACTGTCCGAACAATGTAAATAGTGTAAATAGTTATAATACGTCATCTCAGAAATATAGATAGATCCTGATAAAGGCCGGATCGTACAGTGGTCGAAACGCCGTGAATATGACAACAAAGATGAGGACAACAGTTAGATCAATGTAAATAGTTACAATGATTCCTCTCAGATATATAGACAGATCCTAAATAAACGGCCGAAACGTCGTGAATATGACAGTAACGATAAGGACAGCATTTGAAACAATGTAAATACTGTAAATAGTCACAATTCCCTCATCTCAGAAACAAAGACATATCAATGTATTATTCGATCTATGTTCTACCATGTCCCAACTTCTAATTTCACCTCATTGACTGATTAGTGTTTTATTTTTAGGGACACACAACATGTAGATACTTTTTACATTGTCCATGTGTTAAATAATAGTTTCAGATTATTATTTTTTTAGTTTCAGTGTAATTGGCTTTCACCTTCTAGGGCTGACCTTCGGGTCAGCTGGTAGACCATAAAATAGAGATGTGGATTTTGATTGGATGAAACAAACGTGGGAAAGTTTTTTTGTTTTTTTTTCTGGGAGTTAAGTTTTACTCGTCGAAGAATGCGGACGTGTTAATTTCGTGTCTCTGGGAACTTGCTCCCCAGTGGGGCTGATAGAGCCACCCCACTAGCTAGTTAAAAATATAAACGTCGATGTGGTAATAAAATTATTAAGTTTAAAAATCGCTTCTTTTTTTTTTTTTTTTTTTTTAAGTTTTATTTTATCTCCGAAACTAGCGATCATCCGGCCAAGGTAAGAAAGAGTGCAAGACAAGTTTATAATGATCGCCTCCGTCAAGCATAAGACCTCCCCAAAAGAAGGTGCAATAGAACACATGCAAAAAATCATGATCGATAGAAACATTTCAAATACGTACGGTGTATGAAAAATCTTTATTCGTACACAAGAAGTAATTTAAAATATTCATCACTTTTACTTTATATATATATATATATATATATATATATATATATATATATATATATATATTCTCTCTCTCTATATATATGCAATTTCTATATATATTATTTATATATCATATATGCACGGTACTTATTGGATGCCGTTCAATATCATTGATAGAACTAACATACTTAGTTGTTGTCATATGAATTTGTGACCATATGTATATGTATATCAGTTTTTGACCATATATATGTATAAGTATATTGTATTGATGGGAGTTTGTGACCATATATATATATATATATATATATATGAGTTTGTGCCCATATATATGTATGTATATTGTATTGATGTGAGCTTGTGACCATATATATATATATATATATATATATATATATATATATATATATGCACATGTATATGTTTGTGTATATATATATGTATAAGTATATTGTATTCATGTGAGTTTGTGACCATATATATATATATATATATATATATATATATATATATATATATATATATGTATGTATATATGTATGTATATGTATATGAGTTTGTGGCCATATATATGTATAAGTATATTGTATTGATGTGAGTTTGTGTCCATATGTGTGTGCGCGTGTGTGTTAATGTATGTATTTGATGCATCGGTGTAAAATGAATTATGGTTCTAATTTTATTCAAATACAATAAATCAAATAACGTTACTTTTTTGAAAATTAAATGACGACATTTTTTTTTTATTTTTATTTTCAATCGCATCGTCTGTAGATAATTATGTGATTGGAAAATTACTTTCCTTCTTTTCTTCCTCGTCTCATTTAATCGCCATGAAAATAAAACCAAAAAAAAAAAAAAGTATGGTATGAAAAAATTTGAAAACAGCGGCGTCTGACTTCTGATTTTCAAATCCAAAAACCGTCTTTTTTTCTCCAGATGATAAATCTATTTCAACTCTTTCCAAAGAACGGATACATCGCTGCTTTAGCGCCGTAACCTTTGTGTCTCTGTAAATGCAGTCCATTATTTAGGTGACATCAAAACATTGAATGTAAAACATTCAGGAGGCAAAGATAAAAATTTATTCGTCTTCCAGCACCGTGGTTCCAGCAGAACACAATCCGGTGTACGATATTATTGGAAAAAATGTAAATATTGACGCCAAAGTAAACAATTGTATAAGGTCAAAGTTCAACAGATTAATAGTTTCTTTGAATGACTTACCGGCAGCTGTTTCATTTTTTTTCTATTCTTTTAATTTTTTGCATTTACTAAATTTATTTTAATTCCTGTTTAACAAAGCTTGCTTCGAAACTGCTCTATTTAACAAAATTTGATTACACATTGAATAATTTATCGTCACAGCACTGATCCATTTAACAAAGCGCAGGAAGTTATCTATTAGCTTGTTCGGGAAATAATGTTTGATTTTAGAATGAATTTTTCCTTGTGTTCTAATGTATTATAATATTTACACTGAAGTATATTACTTACTACACATGATTAAAATGTAGTCACTTTTAAAAATTTTACTTTAATTATTATATATCCCTGAACCTGAGCATAAAAAGAGATGCATTTACTTTTTGCATGGGTTAAATCCTGGTCATTATGCATCTCAGTCTGCTGCCAACATTATCAGATGTAAAAGATTATGTGATGAAGGATCCACTTCTGATCGAATAGACCTTTTTTTATGTGCCATATCGTTTAAGGACGTAGGCGATCATGGCTCTCCACCTCTTCCTCTATCCCTTGCCGCTCTCAAAAAGTTCCTTCCCTCTGCTATCTCCCCCAGACCACGTTCCGTCACCCACCTGCTCAAGCCCGCCAGGAATGCCACGCACTGCTTTCCCTTCTCTCTCTCTCTCTCTTTCTCTCTCTCTTTCTCTCTCTCTCTCTCTCTCTATTCGATCCATGAGTATCAGATTCTCAAGGCCTTCTTTCCTCATTATGGTATTTATCAATTCACCCACAGGAATTGAATGCGGCACAAGGCCTTTTTAATGTGGGTATGTCTGAGCCCGTAGGCCCAGCCAAAAATAAAAACTCCATCTAAACCCGACCAGGCGGGCTAGTTCCATGTCAACCTCCCCCGAACGAAACCCCACCCTTCGGCGGAGCTTCGTCCGAGTTCCTCTCTGCAAGCAGAGAGTTCGACAGACACCCGGCTCGGCAGCCCACAAAGCGCAGATACTACACTTTGATCCTAGCCACCGGGCCGAGCGGGTATTCTTTTCTTTCCTCATTATGTGTCCCAGAAACTTCAGCTGCCTCTTCCTGATATTAACCATGAGCCTCCTCCTTGTCTGATTTCTCTCCAAGACCTCATTGTTGCTCACGCGCTCGATCCACGAAATCCTCAGCATCCTTCTGTAGAACCACATGCCCGTCGCCTCGAGTCTCTTCTTCATCCTTGAAGAAATCGTCCAGCATTCGCTGCCGTAAAGAAAAACAGATGTCATGTAACAGCTCAGTATCCTTTTCTTTGTTACCAAAGGAATCCTCTTGTCTCGCAATACTCTGCCCAGCTTTTGGAATGCGTCCTTGGCCATCCAAATACGTTTACGGATCTCAGTGTCGCACTTACCGTCTGCTTAATTCTAGGGTTCTCGACCTGAAAAATCGCATTTCGAGTCCATCATCTTAATGACGATCATGCGCTCCGTCTTCTTGTAGTTTATGCCTAGTCCCTTCTTCTCGCTCTCCCTCGCTATCTTCTGTAGATTTTGTAGTTTCTTTTAAGTGTCTGTTATCAGTATTGTGTCATCTACGTATCTTATGTTATTGAGATTGTGGCCACCGACGTTAAATCCCGATAGGGTTTCCAATTCTCTCAGAATTGCCTCGCTTTATAAGTTGAACAGGTCGGGTGAGAAGACGCATCCTTGCCTTAGGCTCCTTTCTATTTTTGTATATTCACTGAACCCGTTCTTTATGCGCATGCATGATGTTTGCTGGCAGTGTAGATTCTTGATTATTCTGATATCTTTCCCGAATATGTCAAGGTTGCTGAGCAGTTCCAACAGATCTTTGTGGCGCACTTTTTTCCAAAGCCATTGCGTAGTCTATGAAACATAGGTACACGATCTTCCTCATTTCAATCGAACAGTACGGACCTTTTTTTCTGAAATTTCGCAAAGGGAATACGAATCTTGAAGATAAAGATAATAGATGATGTCCATATGCAATTGAAAATCGACATCTGAAAGCACTAGTCCCATAAAACACACTTCAAATTGCCAGAAAAATGTCTCAATTAGTCGGTGTGAATATTTAAAAAAATATCACGTCATCTCGGAAGACGTTTATGTTGAAGTAACTTGATGAGTTTCGCATAAACACAGCGAATGTTAAAGATTTCCACTTTTTCAAATCTATTAGATTCTGCATCTACGGAATTCGAATGATCCATTTCTTGATCGAATTGGGACTTGTGGTGTGAAATGGATCGATTATAACAATCCTAATCGACCGGTTCAGTGTACTTGTCAAATATTTTCCAAAGCCAAAATTACAACAACCGAAGATTATTGTGGCTGCCTGCTAGTACGACAGTGGCATTATCCATTACAGCTTTCTGGAATCTATCCAGAGAATGATGGCAGAAGCTTACTAGCCGTAACTGGATAAAATGCATATTCAGGTAAGCAAATTACAACCGACACTGGTTAATTCACAAAGTCCAATTCTGTTTCATAACCAGGACAACACTGCAGATGCTCACCGATTTAGGATACGAGATTTTGCCCCAGCCACCATATTCCCCTGACCTCTCACCCACTGTCTACCGCTTTTACCAACAGTTTGGCAATTTTTAAGCCAAAAGGCATGACGTTGCTAAGAAGATGCCTCCACACCTTTAGAGTTTTATCGTAATAACTTAAGTAAACAATGGCAGAAATATATTGATGTTGAAGATTCTATCTGGACAGATTTGAACACTGTTTAAATACATAATTCAGGAATAAAAAGTTGATTCTAAAGTCACACTTTATTTTCGGAACAGTCTAATATTCAATAAAATTTGTCTTGGCACTGATCCATTTAACCAAACCCACAGAGGTTCTGAACTACAAGGTATCCCCAAAGTCTGAACAAATAGGAAATCTGATTAACTATATTTTTTTACCTCCACAGATTAAACATGGTTCTATCGAAAGAAGAAAGAATTGACTTCTTTTTGTGGTGTATGCTAAAGGAGAAGATGAACTCAATGAAAATCACAAATGCAACACAGTTGATTATAATCTTAAAGAATGAATGTTATAAAATTGTCGGAAACGTGGAGTTATTGCATCGAGTCCATGTAATCTTGCAAAAGGCATTAATCTTTGTATTACAAATGTAGGGAATCATATTGAGGATGTTATTTATTACTATTATAATTCAATAAAATGTGGCTGAAAATTTTATTTCTTGAAATTACACATTTTTTTGTATATGTCAAAACCTTAGGGACCCCCTGTATTTAGCAAAACCTTCCGAGCTACTGATAAATCTAACAAAACCAACGATGGTCTTTATATATCTAACAAACTCTCCCATCTATTGAGGTAAACTTGATAAGGTAATAATCTATTTAATAAAATCTGACTAGGGAAATGATCTATTTAACAAAATGTATTTAGGCACTTAAACGTAGTCTTATAATTCAAAACATTATACCTCTAAAAATTAATTGCTCCTTACCTCCTATCCTGATTTATGATTTGCATCTCTGTTTCCTTGCCAGTTCGGTTCACGCTGTAGATTCTGCTGTTATTACATTTGAAATGCCTCTTAGATACGGACCCCCTACCCTGCCAATAACTTCTGCTGCCATCGTGCTGACTGGGATAGATTTCGCGATTTTCTTAGCGATGCACCTATTGAAGATTGTGTCTCTGAAGTTTCGTTTTGGGTCGAACGCTGGAATCGAGGCCTTTCTTCTCATAAGTACCAGATGAAAACAAAGTCTTCCCTTTGTTTCTCACCTACCACCGCAGCATCTATAACCCAGAGGAATCACTGTTCATGGCTACACCAATATGATAGCTTTGATCACAACAGACGCATCTTTGTATCCGTTCAGGCTTACGGCCATATCAACTTGATACACCGGTTCTCGTCCGATCACCGAAGTTAAGCAACGTTGATCCTAGACTGTACATAGGTGTGTGAACCTTGCGAATACCTTTTGTGTTAGCTTGGATATCCGGGTTGTGTAATGGGTAAAGAAAAGTAAGAAATCCAGTCGAATTCGTTATATTCACTCACATACAAATCCCCTTGAGAACGGTATAAATCCACCTATTCGCCTCTCATCTATGGATTAAATAGTAGGACTTGTATAAGAAAATCATTATTATCGCCAAAACATTCTGACAACGCCCAAAATATGTTAGGGCTTTAAATAAGATAAAAAAGGCTGATAAATCGTAAAAACAAATCAATCAATCAATAATTGTATCCGTTCGTAATATGTGCAAACGTGTCTCCCAAAAAGCTAATGGCGTGGTTCGCTGATAGAGCGAAAAATCGCATATCTACTCCCGACTGGTTCCCGTGACTACTGGCGGCTCTCTCTCTAAGAATGGGTTAAATAAATTTAAACCATTAATATGGCCACTCTTAGAGTTCATAGTGATATCATCTTTGCTAGTATATTCTCTTTCAAACCTACTCTCGACTCATCAGGACTACCTTTACCAGACTTTCCACTTAGAAATGTCTAATAAATCCCATAGCTCTGTCCATGATTTCTGGTATCATCTCCACACGTTATCCCCCAATCAAAGCATGGGAGCACGATAATTGTCCTTAAAATTGGGCCCCTGGACTGGTCCTTGTTTTTTCAAAGCTCTTCAGTAGATGACTTTCTAGTTCTTCCTTTCCGGATTGTTGAAAATCCTCTTCTGTTCTTCCTGTATTTAAGATCTCTGGCGAATAGTCACAACCTTCGAATTATCGACGTATTAATCTTCTATTCTACCTTTCTTAGAGACTTTAATCAATTACAAAAATGGTTAAGTATCTCAACTCGCAGGATCTTCTTTCAGAAATACATTATGGCTTTCGCTTCCTTAGGTCAATTGCCGGTGTGTTGGCGGTTATTTCTGAAACAATCTATCAATCTGTAGTTAAGAATATCGATGCTCGAGCTGTTGCTTTCAATATTTCGATGGTGTTTAGCATGCACGACTTCTTCACCTGTTTAAGGATTATTGCGTTTCTGGTTGTTTCTTAGATTTGAATCAATCTTTCTTACTAAACCACAGAATTAAATTGACTTGTAACCATCATTCCTGTGAAACGTGTTACAATAACGCGTTTCCCCTCAACTATGGCCGTATTGTTGGAAACATTCTTTATTCCAATAAACAAGCTTCCCGATTTTATCAGTTACTGATTGGATATATATACTGATGACAAAACTTTTACTCCTGTCTTAATAGAAGGTCTGAGAGATTCAATAAAATCAAACTGGCAGGTGATCTCAAAACTTACATACAATCTGTTATGAACTGGGACAATATTTGGCTTGTTAATGACTCTAAAAGGGAACTGCTCTCTATTAAGCATATCCATGTGATTTTATTTTTACTTCCATCATCATTTCTGGTGCCAACCTTAGGAGAGACAATCATTACGTCTTCTTCAGCTATCGTTCTCCACTCGAATAATTCGGAGTGATTATAATGTATAAATTGATAGTCTTTCTACAATTCAACATGTCGTGAGAAACAATATTTGCTCGCCAGTGTCCTGCATCTTTATAAGACTAGCATTGATCTGTGCATAGAATATATCTGCCACAACTGGTCAGCTGTTTCTACTATGAGTCTGGAGATTCTTGACGAAATCAGCAAGGTTATCGCTCCTGAGATGGCCTTTCGACTTCAGTCGACTTCCGTAACGTTGCTAATGCTTTTACTATTGGGTTGGTGCATAATTATCAGGCGATTTTTAAATAAAAAAAAGAAACAACAATAACATTTTTAAATGATTATTCCGGAGCGTATGATTATTGACGTGTTTTTATAACATGAAAATAAAATATTCCTATTAAAAAAAGTAAACAAAACAGCAATTTTTTTAACAAATAACTCGATTACAAAACGCCTAGTAATTATGCACCAACTCAATATAAATATCTTCATAGTCGTTGTTCGAGTGAGATTTAAACGTTGGTACCGTGACTTCAAGAATTTATACACAGTGCTCGATAAACAGCTAAGTTTTATTTTTTTTACGACCAGACGATGATGAACAACGGCAGGATCCAGCTGCGAGAAATACGACATAAAGATCAGTGTCAGTAAGACCGAGGTTATGACCTTCATCAAGAGACCAAAAAAAAACGGACATTAACATCAGTGGGACCCAGCTAAATCAAACCAGTGAAACCAGTGAATTCAAATATCTGGGCAGCTTATTTACCGAAAACGGCAAACTAGAGAGAGAAATCGAGATCAGATGTCAGAAAGCCAATGCAGTCAGTTACCAACTTGCTTCTCTTCTACATCATCCTAGCATTTCCATAAGCACCAAGGCAAATCTCATCAACGCCATTTTCCTACCAACGCTGACATACCAGTGCCAGACATGGCGCCCTAATAAAAGCCCTTGAGAGGAAACTGATCACTTGTGAGATAAAATGCCTGAGGAAAGCAATGAACAAGACCAGGTGAGACAAGATCAGGAATGAGGCAATAAGAGATATGGTCTGGGCAATACCGATCATACAACACAAAAAACGACAGAGGATCGAGTGGTTCCGACGCCTCACTTGTATGCCCTATCAACCAAGCGGGAGGCAGACCAAGAAGACGATGTAGGTACTCAGTGGCAGAAACTCTCAGAGCCCATGAGATATATCTCGTCTAGGCTACTCGCCTTGCCGCTGACAGACGACCGAGTCTCCACCACGACGCCGAACTGCACAAGCGGAAGGAGAAAGTAAAAGAAACTAAAATTAAGCTGTTGAAATTGCTTATCTCGCACTTTTTGCTTGGGACATTCTCTTCCGGTTTTATTTTTTTATTTTTTTTTTTCAAAATTTAAATGTAACATCAGTCATCATCTTTTGTCTTTTTAGAATCCTCTTCTTTTATTGTTCTCTCAGCTCGGTAAAAGTTTTTTTTTGTTTTTTTTCTCAGATTCTTTTATTCAGTAACTCTTTGTTTGGTAATGGCTTCATGACCTTTCTTGAGGGTAGAATATTAAAAAAAAAAAAAAGTATAGGTAAATTGTGTTAAGATTTGAGAACCCCTCGTTACATTTTATCCGGTGAAGTAGAATTCAAGATTTTTGAATGTTTGTCTACATTTTGCCATATAAACAGTATCATTTTGGCAGCAATTATCTTTAACTAAAAAATGCAACCTTGAAGAACCAGTTTTTAGCATCAATCTGATCTAATTCTACGCAATTTATTTTTTAAAAAAAAAAAAAAAAGATTTTCATTTGTGCTCTGCTTTCAGCCTTTCCTGGAATGCAGCGTCTCTTTTAATTGCTTTTAATGCTTTGGTATAAAAAAAAGAGGAACAAATAATATTTTATGCCACCTTTTTCATACTGCGGTTGGCGTTGGCTTTGCAAAAATAAAACCATAACAACATGATAGAACCAATAATTCCCTAATTGGAAATAAAAGAAAAAGTCAAATCCTGATATTAATTCTTGTTTCTTCAAAAGCGACTCTTTTCTTAAATGTCTTTCTTTATTTTTCGTTATTTTTTTTTCAGTTGGCGTTTAGTTATTTCATTTCTTGCCATTATCCATTTTCTTTCTTGTGTTTCATTCCCAGTAACTTGATCATGTCAGTCATTCGATGCTTTCACCTGCTTTTCTTTCATCATTTATTACTTTAATCAACACTTTCTTTCCTTAAAAGCATCGTTGCATTTCTCCTTCTTTCAACTTCATTTTCCTTCATTTTTTTTAATTCTTTATGTACATAGTCTTTCTTTCTTTTTTCTTTAGAAATTTCTTTCTTTCTTTTTTTGTACATCTTCCTTTCTTTCTATTTTCTTTTCTTTATAACTTCTTTCTATCATTCTTTCTATTTTTTTTTCATAATTCTCTCTTTATTTCTTTACCTCTTACTCTTAGTATCATTCTTCTTTGTCACTTAACTTTACCTTTATTATTGCCCAATGCTATATTATTTCATTAATACCAGTGATGTAATGGATAGAGACACTCTATGAGAAAAGAGGAAGCTGTGTTCGAATTTCAATCGAATGCCTTGCATTCACTTAGGGACAAATACCCTTGGGAAAGCTATGGATCCATCTTTCAACACCCGAACAGGACGGACTGGACTCTATAGCATTCGCTGGCAAACAATTTAGGAAGTGAAAAGCAAAGAAATTAAAAAAAGCCAGGAGAAGGTTAGGCTCTGTCAGGTTATCATGCCCCATACACATAACTAATGCTATGGCTGCAGTACACAGCGGGTTACAAGGACCTTGGTTAGATCTCTTTTACTCCATTAATCTCCATCCATGCGGCCTTTTTTACTTTTTTTTATTTGAATATTTTTTCCCAGTCATCTTTTTGTCTTCTTCCATTTTCCTTCAATCTCTTTCTGTTATTTTTATGTTCTCTTCCATTTCCTTCTAGTTATATTACATTTAATGATTCTTCTATTCTTTTGACGATAATTCTCTTTTTAACTACTTAATTCCGCCTTTCTTTCATTTTTCATTTTAACTTTCTCGTTCTCTTCTCAGCGTTATTTCCCAGAGTTTTTTTTTCTTTTCTTGTTTACTTTTTACTTTCCTTCTATTTGCTGCTGATTTTTTTATATTTATTCCACTCCTCCGTTTATTCGTCACTAATTCTTTTTTGTTTCTCCTTTCTTAAATTTATTCAAGCTCCTATTTTTATATTTCCTTTTTTTTCCAGAGATTAACCAATCCGATTATCTAATATAATTGAAGGTTAATTAAATCCGTTTTCTAACCAACATAATGGCTTTAATTAACTGCTTACTTGCAAACAAAGGAATTTCGAAATCGTCGAAATGCGAAGAATTAAAAGAAAAACATTTTTTTTCAAATTATATATGGTTTAATGATACTGCTAAATATTTAGAGGTTCTTGATAAAATCCAAAAAAGAAGCTGCAATTTAATTTGCCCTGACCTGGCATCTCGGTTTCGCTCAATTTACTCCCGGTGCAATGTAGATTCCCTATGCCTTTTCTCTAAATACTTTCACCTGATAAAACTCTTCTCTGTGGTACATAGGTTTTATGAATTTAAGATCATTACGAGATAGGCGACAGGATTTCTTAATTTACACTCAAAAAATACTTGTAATCGTAATTTCTATGCTAACAGTTTCTTTTCTTTCACCTTTCGAATATGGAACGCTCTTCCAACTTCTTCCTTTCCAGTCAAGATTTATCTCCAAACTTTTAGATGTTTTGTGATGTCAACTAATACTCGTTGTCACTTTCGTAATGCTCGTTGAAGTAAAGACTTTGTAATCGCAGATACATCTATAGTAACGCCGTTGAACAATACTGGTGCCAGACGCCTTCTAATATCCCTCCCACTAATAGTCTTTGCTCGATAACACTCGCACGAATAGTAATCCGTATACGGAAATAGTATAGAGAATAACGATCCATATAATAATAGACGATAGAACAGAAATATCGACCTGTATAGTAGGATAGACTAGAAAGGGCGATCCTTTAGACGTCACGCTACTTTCTACTTCTGCGTTACCCCATGGTCACGTGATCCACTTAATTCAATAAAGGAATCGCCTGCGTTTGCTCACTGCCGATCTATGTTCAAACTCAAGTGTTAGCAGCGAGAATTTATTCCTATATAGGAAAATGAAATCTCAGTCGTTATGTTCTGCCCTCTGTGGTATCATACAAATTAGATAGATAAGTATAAATAGAGAACAACGGGCGAACATAGGGTGGCTATGGTTAGCAGACCCCGTTGCTATTCAGGACACGGAGAACTGTACTACGACTACTACTACACAGAGATGTAGGCAAAACATAATACTCTTAAATTACGTTATTTTATTGTTATCGCGCCCTTAAAAAGTGTCTCATATTTTTTTATTACACAGTAATCTCTGCGTGTAAGTGACACTGTTGCATTTCTTTGGGTGACATAATAAAAAAAGAAAGAAAAAATAGGAAAAACCTAAAGATCCTGGATCTAGATGTTTTCGGTGGAAACCTATGTGTCGGCTATTAGACCTTTGATGACGTACATATACATAGCTGGGATAATATTCATATTGAACCAAAAATTCGGCACCCTCTCTCATATATTCTAAGAAGTAAAACTAACCGTAAACTATGATCTGAAATCGGAATGAAATAATTTAACTTCAGTTTGTGGAATTAGTAAATACTAAACACCTTAAATATTCGGTTAGCGGATTAGTCATAATATATTTATTAAGGAAGATAATAAAATTGAACATCAGATAGGCTGCTTTCTGTTTATTCTCGCCCAACACAGCAAGTTCCTACGAAACCAAAACATTAGCCTAAGAACTCAAGTCATGTTCTTAAATAGTCTCTTTAGATCGAAATTTTCGTGTAATAGTTTTCTAATATAAAGGAGTTCGTGCTATTATGCAAAATACATTACTTATATGTGCCCATTTTTATAAAGCTGGTTTCTCGGAGTAGCCAGTTAAAATTTTAATGTAAGAAATTAATTTGTACATGTAAATCAAGTGTAAGTACTTATATCTAGGGTGTCATGACGCCATTAGCAATGGTTCTATATGATATAGATATATATATATAAGCATTTCACCCTAAGCAAGGCGGAAGCACACAAGGATTTACAGAGAGTGAGAGCAAGAGTAAGGAGGAGTGTTTGAGGAAAGGATGTGGAGAAGGCAGGGGATCAGGATCAAGTTATCAGAAGATGTCAATTGACATAACATTATTTGTTAATGGTCCATAGTCATTTGCATTGAGTCGACCATATTCGGATGCTATCCCTGGTGGCGGTAATTTCAGTCCTTGACGATCCAGTATAGTCTCAGGGAAAAAATCTCCATATGATTTGGAGTTAGAAATTTCAGAGCAGATGCAATAAGTTAAAGCCTATTTGATTCTCATCATAGAATCTTTGCTGTTTATGCCAAATAAATTTGGAATTATTGCTTTCAGTATGGAGAGGCATATGAAACGCAATGAACCAATTTCATAAAAGCTAATCAAATACAAATCTAAGCGGGATTTAGAATGGTTAGATTGTAACTTCAGGGTTTTCTTCTAAGAAGTTGACTTTGATGATCTGTGAGTCTGTGAATCATGCTCATGATTGGTTTGGAATCTCTCTATCGATGCAATAAGACTTTATCTCTGAACTTTAGTAATCTATTTAGACGGGGGAAAGATTCACATAGATATAAACAACTGAGATCCAAGCGTCAGTTTTGAATAAATATACATATATGGATCAATCGATAGATAGATATATAGATAGATAGAAAGATATAGAGATTGAAAGATAGATATCAGTTCTAAAATTGTAAGTCAGAAAATCTGAAGAAAATGATCTCTATATATAAAGTGCAGGACGTATATGTGCGTGTGTGTAACGAATGCACGGCCGCAATTTTCGACGGATTTTCACCAAAATTTATATGCCCAAGCGCCGAGTTAGCGGGAAGTCCAACACCGACTTTGCATTTACAAACTACAATTGATCGTGGAAATAACCGATTTTTCATGCTTCTACGGCAGTTTTCATGTAGTTTGCGGTCATCTTCTATTGGCCAGAGTGAGAGCATATAGCTGGCAGCTACGAATAGGCAAGAATATTCTATTGGCCAGCGTGAGAAACAACAGCTGACTGACATGAATGTTAACCAGCATGCTAGCATGCAAAAAAAATCGATAGCTGCATTCGTCACTAGTGGGAAAAATTTAAATCTGCATGGCACTTTACTCCAATTAGCTCATTCGCTTGCTTAAACTCAACGTTGATTCTGATTCCGTAGAACTGTGTTGGATGTGAAAAAGTAATTGATGTCAACATTCTTTTTTCATTCGGTTTTTCCAGTTACGTGTCCTTTTTAAAGCTGATCGTTTTGTGTTCATTTTTTTTAGTTCTTTTTTCGTAACAGATTTAATGTTTAGTATAGAGCTTAGAAAAAATTCGTAGTGTGAGATAGGCAAGAAGTAAGGTATGTTGCAACATCAGCACGGCAAAGGGCACTCCTTTAAAGGCAAGGAAGGGCAAAAATATTTTAAGTCAAGTGATTGAATCAAGCCATGCTGCTAGTAATCAATACTTATAATGAAAAATATGATTCATGATAAAATATTTTTAATAAACAAGCACCCACTACATATATATATATATATATATATATATATATATATATATATATATATATATATATATATTTAAACAAATTTTGTTGCAGAAAATTTAACACTAGCAAAAGGTAAAAGCATAATTTACAAAAGGCATTTTAATGTAAATTTTAATAGCTAAAAACAATCGGATTCGTCACAGTCTTATCAAGTTTATTCCTGGGAATTAAAATAATAAATTATTTTTTCAAGGAAAACTAGAGCCCAATAACAGTCAGACAGAGCAAACAATCCCCTATTGATAAAGGGAAAGCTTGGGATGTGATATATAAGGACTATGAAATATGGGACCTTAATAAAATAGAAAAACGGTCCACACCGAATACAGAAACACACACACACACACACACACACACACACATGCACCCCCATATATATGTATATATATATATATATATATATATATATATATATATATATATATATATATAAAGACTTTTTATGTTTATACATTCTATTTATAGATACAAATATTTTAAGTAAATGCTCTGTTTATAATAAACAGTATGAAACAACATTTACCGGCCTTAAAATATTTATTTGTATCTATAAAAAGAATGTACAAACATAAAATGTCTTAAAATAATTGTCCGACTCTGTCCATGCCATAATATATATATATATATATATATTCATAAACGTTTCATTAAATAATATAGACAAGTGATGTCTATTTATTTTATGTAAATTCTTTTCATAACGTCTGATAAATTTAGTAACATTAATATTGAACGAAGAAAGAAATTCACAATATTGATCCATAATTGTATGAATGAATAAATACACCATATATATATATATATATATATATATATATATATATATATATATATATATATATATATATTCAAACATATATATATATATATATATATATATATATATATATATATATATATATATATATATATATTCAAACATGTTTGTTTAAATATAGACAAGATATTTCTACAAAATTTTGATACATTTTAGAAATTCCAAACTGTTTTTTAGTTCCAGTAAATTTTGCAAATTCATATATAGTAAAGTTCATATTAATTCTTTATCATTTTTCCTGCCTAATTTCAAATGTTCTTACATTCATTTTCAAGGGTATATAAATTATATAAGTTTCACTAATTGCTATATCTATATATATATATATATATATATATATATATATATATATATTGTCATCCAGATTGTTTCGCTGTATCACAGCTCATCGTCTAGCTAAGATTGAAACACGGCTGAATTGGCTTGAGTCGGAGATTCTACCCCTAATCCGTTGGCGCACAGCAGGGATGACAGTGAATTTAAGCGTATTCTTTTATTTTTAGATAAATACACCGTGAATGAGACGCTTTACCGAAGAGTCTTGCATTATTAGCAGCTACTAGTCACTTTTTACAAACTCACACTTCCTCCCCAGAGAGCTCAGCCGAAATAAATTTTTCAGGAGCACACACACACACACAAACACACACACACACACATACATATATATATATATATATATATATATATATATATATATATATATATATATGTTTGTGT